CAGGGCTTCGCAGGCATGCCCCAGGACAGGGCTGGGGGAGACTGGCCCTCACTGCCCACCTGAACCTCAGAGGTGCCCTGTCCCTGGTCTCCCCAGCCCCAGCCCCCTCCTTCTCTTCCCCCAACCAAACCCAGCCTCCTGCTGAGCCACTCCACTGCCTGCCCCCACAACCCCCCTCCAGGCCTTTGCACACTCCCTTCCCTCCGCCTTCAACATTCAGCTCCAGGCCACTCCGCCATGAAGCCTTCCTGGTTGAGTCTCCTCATTCCTATGGCACTTTGTACCTTCTGGTAACACCCCTTCCCGCCAGGGAGGGCCTGGCAAGTTCTGCCCTTCTAACTGGCAGGGACCAGAGCTGGTTCACCCCCATCCCAGACTTCGGCCACAGCAAGGACCGAGGGTGGAGAACTGTGCTGCACAAATATCTGTAGCCCCAGATTGGGCCGTGGCACCCCCCACTCTCTCCTCCCCTGGGAGGCTGTGTCCCCTTGCTCAGCTCCTTGCTTTCTTTGGGGTTGAAGATTCCAAAAGAAAGGCCGAGGGACGGCCTCCATCCCAGCCCACCCGATGGCTCCCACCACCTGGGAACCTGAGGCAGGATGTGAGAGCAAGAGCAGAGGGAAGCTGGCCTGTTCTCAGTGCCCACAAGGTGGCTGCCAACAAGGAAGTGGACTCAGAACAGAATCTGGGAGACAAACCGAGCCCTGCCTTCCTCTCCTCCCTTCCCACCCGCTCTTGCACCTTCTTTTCCTCTGGCCAGCAACACTCCCACCTTTCCCCGTTTATCCCCTGCTCATTCCTCTGCCATGCCGCCTCCTCCAGGAAGGTCTCCCGGATCTCCGGGGAGGTCTGGTTGTCTCTCTCCTCCAACTAAAAATTTTGGGCTAACCTCCCTACTGACACCATCTCATAAGGACATACGAAGTGGTAATACTGTCATCCCATTTCACAGTTCAAAGTCACTGAGGCACAGAAAAGCTAAGATGCAGAACCAAGATCTGAACCTTAACTGCTGTGCTTCCTCCTGAGCCCTGAGGTCAGGGACCCTGTTGCTGGTCCCCACCACCAGGTGTGGAGCCTGTCACCGAGAAGCAGGTTGAAGAAACGAGAGGCCACCGGGAGGCGAACCGGCAGGTCCCCTCCTGCTTGGCTCCCCCACAGCTGATCCTCTGGCCCTGGAAGGTGGGGCCCAGATCTCCCTCCACTGCTGTTCAGAGCAGCCCAGACCCCAGCATCTTGGGAAGGAGCAACAGAACAGGCCTCGCTGGGAAGCAGGGTTTACTGGGCTGGCTGCAGGCCACAGGACAGTCTGGGTACACCAGGCCACGGCGGTGGCACTCCCCGGGGAGGCGCACAATGAGGTAGGTGAGCGAGGGACAGCTGCACTGCCTTTTCAGGGGTGAGGTCCCCGCTGCAGCCCCTCCATCAAAGCTCCCAGGGCAGCTGCCTCAGGCCCTGGGGGATGAGCTCCCAGTGGGAGGGGCAGGCTGGCCCTTGGGGCCGTCTGGCTCCTGGAAGAGTCAGCCCAGGAGGCGTGGGGGTAGGCAGGTGGGTCAGGAGGACCAGGCCCCCCCGACCCTGGCTTCCTCCACAGCCTCGTCCAGGGTCCTCGGCACTGACTGCCCACACCTCTCTCTTCCTGAGTGGTAGCTGGAGGTCCTGGTCATCGGGGCTTGGCCTGGGTCCTGGTCAGCCGGGGAGGAGGGGCTGGTGCTCTGAGGACGTGGCGGCGTTCCTGTACACCAGGAACTGTATGGAGATCTGGAGGGGTCAACGTCAAGGCCTGACCAAGCACAGACTGGGCTGGGCCTGCCCCTGGGGACCCGTGGCTCCATCCAGAGCACCCTCTTCCCTCCCTCTCAGCCCCACTCTGGCTGGCGGAAGGGCCAGCGATGAGCACCCAGCTTCTGCTCTCAGTGCACCTTCCACTCTGAATGCCCTCCCACTCCTCAACCAACTTCCTCCTCCAGGTCCAGCGCCAGGGTCTTCCTCCCGCAGGCAGTCCTCCCTGACTCCAGCCCCAGGAGCTTGCCTTCCTCCCCCGCTACACCATCCTGGGAGTTTCACCCAGTGGCTGGGGCCATCTGAAGGCACTAAGAGCTTACACTTTGCTTTTGTTGACATTCAGTATTATTTTATATTAGCTCCAGGTGAGGTAAACGTCTCTCACGGCAGCCAGCAGGGACTCGGCAGATGTGCAAACAAGGGCCATGCTTACTTTCTGCCAAATGCGATCCAAACAAGGCCCCGTTCCTGTTCAGCAAACATTTACTGAGCACTCGCTGTGCTGGGCCGCGCAGCCTTCCGGACACCTTGCCTTACGTAATCGCCCCTGATCTCGGAGAGACAGTGACTCACCTCCCCATGCAGATGCAGATACGGAAGCACAGAGAGGTTAAGGGTTTCCCCGTGTCACACAGCCATGGAGGAACAGAGCCAGAACTTGACCCCGTTATTGTGACGAACTCACGTGTCTCCACGTTCCAGCTTGCGCTCCTCAGGCCCGCATGGCCCGATCTCCCCGTTCCTCGGGGCCTTCGCACAAACTGAGCTGGGCACATCCCTCTTGCCTTTGCCGACTAACCTCTCCTTCAGGGCAGTTTAAATGGCACCCGGGAGGCCTCTGCGGAGCCTTTAAACCGGGGCAGCCCCTGGTCACACACTCTTGCAGTTTTTCTCTGGGGCCCTCAGTGTCAATGCAACGAAGTAATGACTTCTAATCAGTGTACCCTGTCTGCCTCCCAGAGCTGGAGCTCCCGGGGGCAAGGCCACCCAGTTCTTGCTCACGACTGGGCCAGTGCCTGGCGGGGTGCATGGCAGACAGCGGGGTGCATCTGGGTGGATGGGTGGATGTGGGAGCCCCGAGCAGGCAGGGGCTGCCGTGCCCACCTCGCCCCGCCTGCCCTGCATGCCCTGAAGGATACGATGGCGTCGAGCAGCAGCACGCCCAGGCTGCCCACGAGCCAGGGCAGGTGGTGCAGCACGTAGCTGCCCTCGCTCTGGCCCTCCTCCGGGTTCTTGAGCAGCACACTCAGCCCGTACAGCGTGTTCCCCAGCATCACCAAGGCAAACAGCGAGTAGGAGATCCCCTGGGTCGACTTCCGCAGGAACTGGAGGTGAGGGGGTTGGGGTCAGAGACCTCAAACAGGGCTCCTGTCACCCTGGGTTGTGCCTGTCCATGTATCCATCTGCCCTGTCACACTGTGCGTGTAGTCAGAATCTGACTTTTCGCTGTGTGCCCACTGTCCGACACCGACAACCCGCTCCAGGGCCCGACGCCTCATCCTCACTCCTGCCACCTCTCCAGGCCCCTGCCCAGGTCCACAGCAGACTATGGCTGCGCTATGCCTGCTGCCATGACGCCCTGCTCTCCAGCCCCACGCTGACTCTCGTTGCCTCTGCCCACCCATCCCTGATTCTCCACCTTCTCTCCTCTCGGGCCTCTAAGCGCAGCCCCTCGCTGTCACCTGACTTCCTACTTGAGAGTCACACCGGTCACACGGATGCCTGGATGGCAGGCATCGTCATGCCCGTTTTCCAGAGGCACAAACCGAGGCTTGGAGAATTGGACTAAGTTGCCCAAGCCAACAGTGAATGTAGACCCAGACCTTCTGCTCTGTGCTACTCCTGAACCCAGAGGCCCGCGCTGCCAGGCCGGCTCTTCGCTTCCACTCGGCCCCACCCCGCTCAAGGCTCACGTTGGTGTGGATCTGAGGCAGCCGGGAGAACAGGTACAGCACGCTGGAGATGGAGCCGATGACAAAACCAATGATCTCCTGCCGAGTGAAGGGCTGAGGAAGCAGGAGGGAGTGCTCAGTGCCTGGCAGGGAGATCCCCAAGCTCCCTCCTAGGGGGCAACCCCCGCCCAGGTGGCCCTGCAGGGAGGGCCCTTGAGGCCAGTCTCCCCCCTCCGCCCTACCACTCCGTACCCACACCTCACCTTATTGCCCGGCTCCACAGACAGGAGCTTCCGGCCCTGGAAGACCTCCCTCGGGGCAGCCACAGAGGCAGTGCTGCTCAGCAGCGGGGTGGCACACACCAGTCCCAGGGTGAACAAGAGCAAGGAGTTGATGGGGGCAGACACTGGACATGAGGCAGGAGGGAAGCCGAAGTTAGATATCTGAGTGGCAGCAAACGGATCGGAGTCGTGGCCTTGCCCCTCGGTGGCTGTGTGACCTTGGGCAAGTGACCTAACCCCTCTGAGCTTTAACTCCTCATCTGTAGAATGGGCGCAATAACACTATCCTTCCCCTGGAGTTGTAAAATTAATACGATGACAGCAGTAGGGTCCAAGGAGAGGGGGGGGGTTATCAAAAGCAGTGCCTCGGGCCACATCTCACAGCCCTCGCTCTGACCTCAGAGGCAGCGATGGCCTGTGAGCCCTGTGCCTGTTTCCCCGGCTCCAAGCCCAGGGCCAGGCACGGAGGAGAAGCTGAAGCCACGTTTGTTGAATAGGAGTTTGAGTGAAGGGAAGCCCTGTGGTCCTGCCGGATGTGCTCATTGCCCTTGGCCCCTATCTTGGCCGATCAGGGCTCGGGCTTTCAGATAAGGCCCGAGGAAGCCTTTGGGAGGGTTATCACCCGGCAATAGGACAGCTGCTTCCTCTCACACTCCCGCTGCCCCTAGCGTGCCCGACACGGAGGGACCACCATACTCACACGGAGAGGGGCGATTCTTAAACTTGTAGTGAAAGTAAAGGGACAGCATCACCAGGTCTGCCAGGACGTAATACACCGCCGTGTAGGTCTGCAAGAGAAGCAGGGGCGCGGGCTCAGTCCCAGGCTCTGGGGACCGCACTCCGACACTGGGCAGCACTCTCACACCCCAGCCGGGTGGCCCTGAGCAAGTCGCGTCACCTCCCTGAGCTCTGGCTGCTCACCTGGAAAGGGGGAGCGCAGTTCCTACCTGGCACAACTAGAGAGCAGGTGGCTAAGTGTTGGACCCGGGCAGATGGAGGGACGGGTGGCTAGTTCCCCTTGTCAGGACAAAGTGGTGGCTCCTGGGCCTCTCCGGGGAAAACGTTCCTCCTCCAGCCCCACCCCCCACCCCCCAGCCCCAGCTCCATCAGGATCAGAGCGCCCCAGAGGTCCAAGGCTCTGGTGATCCTCTGGTTTGATGTGGTCATTTAACAGATGGGGAAACTGAGGCCCAGAGAAGGACAGTGACCAGTCCATTGCCATACTGCGTGGCAGGGCCCAGGGCTGTCTCTGCAGCACGGGGCCCTCATAAGATGGAACAACAGGTCAGGATTCTGGAGCCCGGGCCTCTCCTGTGGGTGCCCCCAACGCCTCTGCCATGCTATCCTAGGCAGCCCACCCTGCCCGGGGCCGGCCCACCTGCAGGGGCAGCTGGTCAGCAAGGAAAGAGCCGATGAGGTTGCAGGAGTCTCCACCAATCCAGCCCAGGAGAAACCACAGGGACAGGGCCTGGTCCATGTTGCCCGTCTTGCAGGCCTTGATGTACTGCCTGTGGCAGAGAAGGAGACGCATGCTCAGGGGCTGAGGGCTGTGACATCGCCTCGGAGGGTCAACCAGGGAACGGCCCCCAGATGAGACCCCCACAGGGTGTGGGGCAGGGGCGGCAGAGGCAAAGGTCACTGGGAGGTCACAGGGTCCTCGTGAGCCTCTTTGCCCATTGGGGGTTTTTACTGGGGAGAATCCCTGCCCACCCAGGGACTCGATGGGATGCGCATCTTCTCAGACAGACCATGGCATTACTCACGCTCCTCCAAGCACCCTGGGGACCTAGAATCTTTCTTCTACGAAGGGGGTAGGGAGTTTGGAAAAAGGATGGTGGTGGTGGCAGCAAGGCCATGGCCCAGGCACGGCCGCTGCCCTATCTCCAGGATGGGCGGCGATAAGATGATGGGCAACCACAACCGCTATCTCCCAGGGGCAGGGCTGTGGCTCCTGCTCTCCAGTACAAACACCGGGGCAGTCAGCACCTTGGCTCTTTCCCAGGGGTCCCTGGGACTGCGACCCTTTCTTTGGACCTCTGGCCAGGTATCAGGCACGGCTCTGAGCCCTTCGTGTGGACAGACTCACTGGGTCCTCACAGTCCCCCACGTCCAGGTGTATTTTGAGGACCCTCCTCACTGCGGGCTGAGGAGGTTGGCAGCTGGGAGTCTGGGAGTAGGATTCACACCCAGACCCCGGGGCTCCCGTCTCGCTCCACCCGGACTGCTTTCTCTTTTGAGCTCTTCGTCTGCAGATGGCTCGCCCACCTCCTTCTCTGTCACTGCTCAGGACATAGTTCCTCTTCAGGGCCTTCCTTGGCCTGAGCTCCCCAGCACCCTTGTAACATGTGGCACCCTGGTGCCTCCTGGACTCAAGCTTCCTGAGGGCGAGGACAGGGCCCAGCACAGGCCTGGCCGAGAAGGCCCTTAATTAAGGTTTATGCCGTGTCCCGTTTAGCTCCTTCAGGATACTGTGACCTGACCTAGCTCCAGGAATTGCAGATCACACCCAGGATAGGCCAGGGCCTAAGAAGGAGCAGGAAGGTGGCTGCCCTTCCCACCGTCACTTGGGGCTCCCCCCAGGCCTTCGACCCCCCTCAGTGGATAATCAGCCAGACCCAGGCAGGGCCAGCGCTACGCCAGGGCCGGAAGGGGAAGCCTCAGCCAGCTCCTCTGATAGTTCTGGGGAAGCTCTGTCCTCACGACAGGGAATCTCTCTCCCTCGGCCTCCATCCGTCACCCAGACCTGTCCACTCTGCCTCCTGAGGGCCTCTCCACTGGGCCCTGACATCACCGCTTGCTGAAGGCCTACTCCCCCCAGCCCTCCCCTGTGACTTCCAGGGTGTCTTCTAAAGGGAAGCCCTGCGAAGACCAGGGCAGTCTCTATTTTATTTTCTTGTGTCATACCTAGTGCAGGACTTCTGTGCTACAAAGGATACCAAGAAAGTGAAAAGACAAACCACAGAATGGGAGAAAATATTTGCAAGTCATAGGAAAGTGGATGGAAGAGGGGTTCTACGTTAAGTAACCTCACAGCGTGATCTGATCATAGTCCTTTAACTGGGCAGGTCATGATGGGTGTCATGCACCAGGCATATGAATTCTTAAGTAAAAAGTTTATCTTTGCCTGAAGCAAGCCGTGTGTGTGTGTGTGTGTGTGTGTGTGTGTACGGTAGGTTAACATACCTTTGAAATAACCACCCTCATCAGAGCACAATCTTGTTAACCACTCCGTATTCCAATCCCTGGGGCTTGCTTTCTCCCACCTTCTTATAGTCTTCCTTACACCCCTCCCCCCTTAATTTCAGATGCTTAAAAAACCCCGCAAAACTGCCATTCTGCAGAGTGTCTGAGATCTTGTTTCCTGGCAATTATCATCAGTTTGGCTCAATAAAATCTTATAAAAATTCTCTACAGGTTTGGACATTCTTATGTCGACATAGACTATATAAAGAACTCTTACAACTCAACAATAAAAAGACAAAAATCCAATGATAAATGGGCAAAGGAGCTGAACAGACCTCTTACCAAAGAAGATCTACAGCTGCCAATAACACATGAAAGCCACTCAACATCACCAGCCACCAGGAAAATACAAATCAAAACTACCACTTCCCACCCACTGGGATGGCTACAATAGATCGGAAATACCAAGTGTGGGTGAGGATTTGGAGAAATTGGAACCTTCGTGCACTGCTGGTGGGATATGAAACGGCGTGAAAGCTTTGGAAGGTAGCCTGGCAGTTCTCAAGGGATTAAACCCAGTCCTGCCACCCTGGCGCTACTCACGGGAAAGTGGACGCTGCGAAGCAGAAAATGGAGATCAAGCCCAGGCCCACACTGGCCTCATCCCAGCCGTCCTGGGCACATTCACCAAACACGTCCCATATCCACTGGGAGCCATTGGGGCAGCTGGAGAAGTTGCCGGAGCCCAGTTTCTTCCAGACCATGCTGCGAGGGCGGGAGGGAGGGTGCTGGTGCGCTGAGGCAGGCGAGGGCTCTACCGGGAGAAAGAGAGGGGGCTTTAGCCTTGGAAGGTTGGGGTGCTGGTCATGGTGCCCCAACCTAAGCCCATCCCAGCTTATCACCTGGCACCGACTGAGCCCCTGGACCACAGGACACAATCAGCCTAAGCCCGTGGTCGGCAAACCGACTAAAATACCACGTGCGGGCGCGCACGTACAGTGCGACTGAAACTTCGTGGCCCATGCACAGAAGTCGGTATTTTGTGGAAGAGCCACACTCAAGGGGCCAAAGAGCCGCATGTGGCTCGCGAGCCGCGGTTTGCCGAGCCGCAGTTTGCCGACCACTGGCTTAAGCAAACCCGAGTCAACCACGTGTGCAGGGAGCGCTGGACCTACAGGCAGGGCAAGTGCCTTCACATCCCACCGTCACCCTCATTAATGCTGCAACTGTGCCTCAGTTCCCTCAGCTGTAAACTGGGGCGATAACAGTGTCTCCCTCATACATTGTGAGGCCCAGTGAGCTCATAAATACAGTGTGGAGAGCTCAGCCCCCCAATATGTCACTTTGGTTGTAACTCTTGAATGTTCAGATTGTTTCCAATCTTCTGTTGTTATAAATTACGCCGTGAGGGTCTGCTGAGACCAGGCCCATGGACTAGGCTTGTTACCGGCATTGGTCTGTGGGCGAAATGAAAGGGGTTTCTGTGGAAAGTAACCTCACAGGGTGATCTGATCAGAAATTCCTAACTGGGCAGGTCACGGTGGGCAGGTACTCAGCCCAGGCATATAACTTCTTTAGTGAAAGGTTTTAAGCCCTGTCCATTGTTCTTGGGTTAAAGCACCACTGAAATGTTGGAAGTAATACCCCTCCAGACATAACCACCCTCAAGAAAGCACATCCTATATCATAAAAGGCTAATATGCAAATCGACTGAACAGCAGAATGACCGGTCACTATGACACACACTGACCACCAGGGGGCAGATGCTCAACACAAGAGCTGCCCCTTGGTGGTCAGTGCGTTCCCACAGGGGGAGCTCCGCTCAGCCAGAAGCCCTGAGCTGGGCGAGCGCAGCAGTGGTGGTGGGAGCCTCTCCTGCCTCCATGGCAGCCCTAAGGCAACCCGAGGTTCTGCCAGACTGTGAGAGGGTGCAGGCCGGGCTGAGGGACCTCCCCCGCTCAGCACACGAATTTTGTGCACTAGGCCTCTAGGAATCCTATAATCTACTATCTCCCCTCCTCAAGTAATCTTCCGTACGTTCCCTCCTTTAATCTCCAATGCATAAAACAAGCTGCCAAACTGTCCTTCTCCAGAGCGTTTGAAGCTCTTGCTC